GTAAAATTCAGTAACATAAGCCCGGCTCGACCTTTGCGGACTGTGATGCCATGTTAACCTCATTACAATGCATAGACTTATCATGTGTAGAACGTTATGACGAAATAATAGAAGTACCTTAGAACAAAATATGTCCTGTCGCGTATGTCCTGTCCTGTCGATGTAAACTGGTGGCCCTGAAATACGTGCATCAGTCCTGCCCTATCGATATTACCTGGTTGTTCTGAATAAGTACATATGCCCTGACCAATCGATGTCAACTGGCTGTTCTGAATAAGTACATATGCCCTGACCAATCGATGTCAACTGGCTGTTCTGAATAAGTACATATGCCCTGACCAATCGATGTCAACTGGCTGTTCTGAATAAGTACATATGCCCTGACCAATCGATGTCAACTGGCTGTTCTGAATAAGTACATATGCCCTGACCTATCGATGTCAACTGGCTGTTCTGAATAAGTACATATGCCCTGACCTATCGATGTCAACTGGCTGTTCTGAATAAGTACATATGCCCTGACCTATCGATGTCAACTGGCTGTTCTGAATAAGTACATATGCCCTGACCTATCGATGTCAACTGGCTGTTCTGAATAAGTACATATGCCCTGACCTATCGATGTCACCTGGTGGCCCCGTAACACGTGCATCAGTCTTGCCCTATCGATGTCACCTGGTGGCCCTAAAATACGTGCATATATCCTGCCCTATCGATATCACCTGGCTGTTCTGAATAAGTACATATGCCCTGTCCTATCGATGTCAACTGGCTGTCCTGGAATACGTGCATATGCCCTGCCCTATCGATGTCACCTGGTGGCCCCGTAATACGTGCATATGCCCTGCTCTATCGATGTCACCTGGTGGCCCTGAAATAGGTGCACATGCCCTGCCCTATCGATGTCACCTGGTGGCCCTAAATTACGTGCATATGCCCTGCTCTATCGATCCTACCTGGTGGCCCTGAAATAGGTGCACATGCCCTGCCCTATCGATGTCACCTGGTGGCCCCGTAAAACGTGCATATGCCCTGCCCTATCGGTGTCACCTGGTGGCCCTGAAATACATGCATATGCCCTGCCCTATCGCTTTCAACTAGGGGCCCTGTAATACGTGCACGTGTACTGCCCTTTTGATGATGACTGGTGGCCCTGAAATACATGCATTTGTCCTGACCTATCGACGTCACCTGGTGGCCCTGAAATACATGCATTTGTCCTGACCTATCGATGTCACCTGGCTGTTCTGAATAAGTACATATGCCCTGTCCTAACGATGTCAACTGGCTGTCCTGGAATACGTGCATATGCCCTGCCCTATCGATGTCAACTGGTGGCCCTAAAATAGGTGCACATGCCCTGCCCTATCGATGTCACCTGGTGGCCCCGTAATACGTGCATATGCCCTGCTCTATCGATGTCACCTGGTGGCCCTGAAATAGGTGCACATGCCCTGCCCTATCGATGTCACCTGGTGGCCCTGAAATAGGTGCATATGCCCTGCCCTATCGATGTCACCTGGTGGCCCTGAAATACATGCATATGCCCTGCTCTATCGATGTCTCCTGGTGGCCCTGAAATACGTTCATATGCCCTGCTCTATCGATGTCGCCTGGTGGCCCTGAAATACGTGCATATGCCCTGCCCTATCGATGTCACCTGGTGGCCCCGTAAAACGTGCATATGCCCTGCCCTATCGGTGTCACCTGGTGGTCCTGAAATACATGCATATGCCCTGCCCTATCGCTTTCAACTAGGGGCCCTGTAATACGTGCACGTGTACTGCCCTTTTGATGATGACTGGTGGCCCTGAAATACATGCATTTGTCCTGACCTATCGACGTCACCTGGTGGCCCTGAAATACATGCATTTGTCCTGACCTATCGATGTCACCTGGCTGTTCTGAATAAGTACATATGCCCTGTCCTAACGATGTCAACTGGCTGTCCTGGAATACGTGCATATGCCCTGCCCTATCGATGTCAACTGGTGGCCCTAAAATAGGTGCACATGCCCTGCCCTATCGATGTCACCTGGTGGCCCCGTAATACGTGCATATGCCCTGCTCTATCGATGTCACCTGGTGGCCCTGAAATAGGTGCACATGCCCTGCCCTATCGATGTCACCTGGTGGCCCTGAAATAGGTGCACATGCCCTGCCCTATCGATGTCACCTGGTGGCCCTGAAATACATGCATATGCCCTGCTCTATCGATGTCTCCTGGTGGCCCTGAAATACGTTCATATGCCCTGCCCTATCGATGTCGCCTGGTGGCCCTGAAATACGTGCATATGCCCTGCCCTATCGATGTCACCTGGTGGCCCTGAAGTACGTGCATATGCCCTGCCCTATCGATGTCGCCTGGTGGCCCTGAAATACGTGCATATGCCCTGCTCTATCGATGTCACCTGTGGCCCTGAAATACGTGCATATGCCCTGCTCTATCGATGTCGCCTGGTGGCCCTGAAATACGTGCATATGCCCTGCCCTATCGATGTCACCTGGAGGTCCTGAAATACGTGCATATGCCCTGCTCTTTCGATGTCACCTGGTGGCCCCGTAATTCGTGCATATGCCCTGCTCTATCGATGTCGCCTGGTGGCCCTGAAATACGTGCATATGCCCTGCCCTATCGATGTCACCTGGAGGTCCTGAAATACGTGCATATGCCCTGCTCTTTCGATGTCACCTGGTGGCCCCGTAATTCGTGCATATGCCCTGCTCTATCGATGTCGCCTGGTGGCCCTGAAATACGTGCATATGCCCTGCCCTATCGATGTCACCTGGTGGCCCGGAAATACGTGCACATGCCCTGCCCTATCGATGTCACCTGGTGGCCCGGAAATACGTGCACCTGCCCTGCCCTATCGCTTTCAACTAGTGGCCCCGTAATATGTGCACGTGTACTGCCCTTTTGATGATGATTGGTGGCCCTGAAATACATGCATTTGTCCTGACCTATCGATGTCAACTGGTGGCCCTGAAATACGTGCATATGACCTGACCTATCGATGTCGCCTGGTGGCCCTGAAATACGTGCATATGACCTGCCCTATCGACGATGTCAACTAGTGGCCCTGAAATACGTGCACATGCCCTGCCCTATCGACGAAGTCAACCGGTGGCCCTGAAATACGTGCATATGACCTGCCCTATCGACGATGTCAACTGGTGGCCCTGAAATACGTGCATATGACCTGCCCTATCGATGATGACTGGTGGCCCTAAAATACGTGCACATGTCCTGCCCTATCGATGTCGCCGGGTGGCCCTGAAATACGTGCATATGACCTGCCCTATCGATGATTACTGGTGGCCCTGAAATAGGTGCACATGCCCTGCCCTATCGATGACACCTGGGGTCCTGAAATACGTGCTTATATCCTGCCCTGTCACAAAGTGGTTTTGAAAGCATGCATATGCCTCGTTGTTCCGAAAAAGGAAGCATATGTCAAGCCCAACTGATGGCACCTGGTGGTCCTGAAGTATCTTGCCGTACCAGCAGTGCGCATCGTGTATGAAGGACACAGGAATATTCAAGGGAACGGCAGCTTCACCACGCAAGTAAAATGTTAACCATACCTCAATATAAGGTTTGACCTATGTTGTATATTAAATAAACAAATAAATAGAAGTATATATAGAAATCATATCACACATCTTTAAGCACAATACAAATGTAGTATTTCGTATATGCATGTAATTTCAAATTACATATTATCCATAAGTGCACAATCATGAGATTGTTTCGTATTTAAATGAAAAATAATACAAACAAAACCTGCTAAAGGTGTGGATGATGTACAAAGTATTAATTATGTACTTGTTCTGTTATATCGTAAATGACTTCAACGGTTGGCCGCTTGAAATATCTATAAGTCGTTGTGTGGTGGCATAAGTGTACCTTATTCTATATCAGTTTCGAATGAGAATTCATAAAGAGTATGTGTAAGGAGGATGTTGCGACATGACGTTTATATGTGGGAGAACTGCTGTGCTTCAATATTTTTTTGTATTATTGGCTACTTTGCAGCACAACTGCATGTGCAATGTGCATCTAGAAAACTCGCGGTCTTTGACCCCAGGTACGAGAAACGCCGAGAAGCCATGAACACAACACTTGACAAATTAAGCTGACAGTGTTGTGATGTCACATATGGTTCCACCGCCACTCTAGGGGCTGCTTTAGGTGCATCAATTTTCTAAAGTAGCACATTCCTTGTAAAATGCATCACCGTCATAGGCTACAGAAAATGATATTGTGATACAATTTTCTGTTTCATTTCACAACATTATTGACTGTCTTGTTTCTCTGAACACCAATTCCCCTGTTGTATAGAACCTGTCTACTCCATAACGTCAACGTTGTTGACACGTCTTTGTGGTAAAGAAGCAATACAAAGGCATTTGCTGGACACGCGTATTTTTATTGATATGTTACACAATATGCAAGAGTCGTGACTTTGTTCAAAACAGGAGGGACCGCCAGGGATGTCATGTCGGAATTCAGATCACGCTGTCAAAGCATCGATGATAGATGAAGGGACATGAGAATGCTCTGGAAAATCATAGACCGTCCGGCGACAGGGGCAATATCGTTCTGGTATCAACATTAATAAAATAAAAGTTGAGTCTACAAATTTGATATGACATTTACTTCACATATTGTTCACTTCACATACCATAGTGTAAGGCGTTATACAGAGCAAAGGTTTCCTACAGGTCATGTTACCTTTGTCCATATACTTGAGCAATAATGATCATTTTGTGTGGTAGATGGTTTACTTCCCGACGAACTCATAGAAGCCAGATTGCTGGGACCGAGCCCTCTTTCCCACAAACTCGGGAATTCTATATCTTAATCTCTTGCTCAATAAAGCGGATAGGCGGTTGTCCATATTCTGCCTCAATAAGTCAGAAGGAGCCATGTCTCTTTTGCCAAGAAACTCGGAGAATCGTTTGTCAAAAACTCGTTTCCCGAGAAACTCTGCATATCTCTTAGATAAAGGGGCATCCCCTTCCGGTTTTCCTAGGAAACCAAAGGCCTGAGGAGCGGCCAGAAGGCGGGGGTCACGTGGTTCCGTGTCCTGGAAATCCCATTGGCTGTTTTCAGCCCCTGCCGATGGCCCCTCAATACTATGTAGGTCTAAGTTTCGCTGGATAAGGGCTGAAGCCAGGTTAGCCGAAGAGGGTCTAAAGACCTTGGGGTCTGGCCGATCTGTAACAGAATACATAGTGCAGTCTTTCTTTTTTTCCGAATGGGGTGGGGCTGGGGGTATATTATTTACATATTAGACGGTGGAGAAATTCTTTGGTATCACTGCTCACGACTCACGGTCAAATTTACAAAGGTATTGGTCACACCCACGTAACAATATCTATCAACAGTACAAAAATAGACTTTTAAAAATAAATTGGAACGCCCTTACATCATGAGGAACGTAATTTAAAGCGCCCTGAAGAATGATATTTCGGCAATTCGTACAGGAGTAAGACTGCGACATAAGGTTAATACATTTTGTACATCGCCTTACAAGGAAGTAGGAGCACCGGCATCAATTGTCTCTCAAAATAAGGCCGCTTTTGCAACGCCGAATTTGTTTGCATTCGCTTTATTATCATTCTCTCAGTAAGAACGCTTCACGAGAACATCAGTGGAAAAGTGCAGAGCCACACTATCAGTAATATGAATCCGGCTCAAAACCATGTCCTTGTGATGGGGAACTTCTCCGACCCACAAAAAGAGGGGCTTCAAAACGCTTTTCTGCCTGAACTAATCGCCGATACTGTCTAGCAGCTTCGTAATAGTGAAAGGCGCTAAGCAAATCTTTCAACGATTCCTCCTGTCTTTTTCCAATGAAACGGGGGATATCATACCGTTTGCCGATGAAGTAGGGGGCTGGGTACATGTTTCGTTTCAAGATTTCATTTTCGGCATATTGGGGGTAATCAGAGGATCGTTTTACGGGAAACGCGCGGAAAGGTTCTTCTTTGGAAGGGATGCGGGCTAAAGGACTTACAGACAGTTCTTGCATATTGGAACCGGATAGGTTGTCGAGAATATCCGCTAAACGCCGCTTGCCGACGAACATCGGTGCAGCCTTTTTGCCAACAAACATAGGTGCTGCTTTCTTCCCAATAAACATCGGAACAGATTTCTTTCCCACAAACATTGGAGCGGCCTTTTTGCCCACAAAGTAAGGAACAGCTCGCTTGCCCACAAAGTAAGGAACAGCTTTTTTGCCCACAAAGTAAGGGGCTGCCTTCTTGCCAACAAAATAAGGTACAGCTTTTTTGCCAACAAAATAAGGAGCGGCCTTTTTGCCCACAAAGTAAGGTGCAGATTTCTTTCCCACAAAGTACGGTACGGCCTTTTTGCCGACAAAGTATGGAGCTGATTTCTTGCCAACAAAGTAAGGAACGGCTCTTTTGCCGACAAAATAAGGAGCAGACTTCTTCCCAACAAAATAAGGTGCTGATTTCTTTCCTATAAATAAAGGCGCTGCTTTTTTCCCCACAAACATGGGGGCATAAGATCTCCTATTCCATGCTAGTCTTTTCTGTTCCTGTTGAACCAATTGCTTAATTCTCTGTAGCAGTTCATCATCGAGAAGTTGTGTATACGGCTGGCTAGAGTCCGTATTAGAAGAATCACTGCTGAGCAGGCGTTCTAGACCCTGGTCATCCGACAACATGTAAGCATCGCGCGCTAGCCCGTCAGGCGGAGGGTTAGCTACTTCCCCTTGTTGCAACGCAGCAGAATGCGGCGGCGGCGGCGACAGCAGGCCAGAATCATGCATTGGCGGAGAGTCAGCACCTGCATGGTGAAAAGTAGCAGTCAGACAACACAATAGAACAACCAAACATGCACTACATCAAGTTTAGGTTCGAGAGTTATAGATGAGATGTAATGTAGGTTAAAGTCGCGTTCAAGATTATTGCGCTTAAATAGCGACCTGCATGGATATGTGTGTGTCCGTGTGCGTGTGAGTGTGTGCGTGTGTGTGTGTTTGTATTAGTCCGTACTAATGCTAGCATAATATTGTTAACCCATTGAGATACCCTGCCGCAGTTTAACAAAGACGCCCCCTACCTCTCCACAGACTCAGTATTCTGACACCCTGTATTTTCCTTTAATGCCGAGCACCAGGCAGGGAAGCAACAATTTTTTAACTTATGTTAAAAAATGACGGAGTCGGGGGTCCGACCACTGACCTTTCGCTCCCTTGACAAACGCCCACAAGACCACGGAGGCGGTCGAGACTTATGGGTGTTGTCATGATACATTTTTTAATGTAATGTTTTCCCCCATTTGTTTTCACTTCACGTACCAAACATCCAGTTTATCGTAACACCTTCTTGTCGCATTTTTATATTAAATATTATTAACTAAGTCGCGTTTGAAATGGCTGACTATGATCACGTTTTGCAGGTATACAAAATCAGTTAATAACACATGATGAAGAAATTGTTAGTGACAGTGTGATGAGATCAATATCGAAGATAAAAGAAAGTACAATTGTTGTGTTATGTTTTCTTGTAAATAAATGTTTATGTTTCCGGTACAGTGAAGTCGTTTACTGGGCACATAGTTTAAAACAATGTATGTTCCCGATAGTCTAAAACTTTCACTCCCCTCGAACAACAGACATCTCATGGACCTTGCGTTCATGAAACTCTCTGAATTTTGATATAATATATTCCTATGTTAGTAAATTCTCCACTTTTAGCTGCGTCTATCATTTGTTTTAGGAAATAGCGGTCATCAATTTTAATTAATTTTAATTTAATTAACAATGGACCTTGTTAACATAAATCACGTATTTCCTGCATTGATACGAAAACACAAAAATAAAAGGCAATTGAAATGTCAATGATAGTATGCTATTCGTACACTTGTGCTCTATTATCAACTATTCATCGTAACAAATACGGTATGTCGTTAAGCTTCTCAGCCTGTCATATATACATACATACATATTCGGTCAATGTTGATCACACGGGAATAAAAGATTTCTTTCTAACTTGTAATAACATATAAATGACATTCATAAAAGACTTATTTCAAGCGACAGCCTTTTCAAGAATATACCCTGACTGAAAATGCTTTGTATAGCGTTGGCTTGGATTGCATTGCATTGTGTTTGACTGTTTTTAATTGTGTTTGTTTTGTCCATTATCTGTCCGTATTGCTATAAACACAATTTAAAAGAGAACAGTTATCCTTGGAAATGAAGTTATGTATTTTTTGTGTGAAACATTTAAGTTTAAAGATGAACTAAAAAGACAACTATCTTGTTTAATGGAATGAAGATTGCTTATTCAGAAAAATCAACGTAATTTTCGTCGGATAATTAAGCCTGGATATTCTCTTGCGTTGGCGTTTTATATTTAATAACAAAAACATCATAGACTTTTAAGTTCTTTTGACATATCGATCAGAACAAGAGTCGTTCAAGAAATAGAAAGAAGAGACAATGAAGTACGGTTATCAACCAACGTAGCACAACATGAACATGATGTTATTAATAGTTTAGCATCCAATCCGTTCTGTTTTTAGATCAGTATTATTGTCTCCTAAATGAATTTACATTTCGTTGCGCTTGACTAAGCATTCACTTACCAACTCTTGAGAAGTAGTTATATTTAAATGACTTAAGAGGCATACATGATGAAGATAACAACGTACAAAATAGTGGGATTAATCGCAGTATGTAATAGAGTCCAAGTACACATGGAGACTAACATTAAATAGAAAGAGCACCAGTTATGTAATTTCTTTAATGCCAGAATATTTGGCCATGCAACAAACACGGTTAAGAATTACAAAGCATAGCGTATCATACCTGCATCCTCGGCGAACGTCAAAACAGATCCAAGTAAAAGAATAAAACTGGATGAAATCATGCCACGCATTCCTTGGATGCCAACTGATGGAGACCCTGGAGATAAAAACAAAGTCATGATAATAACACCAACAACAAAGATAATAACAATAATAATAGTTTAATTACAGAAGGAGTTATTGACCATCGTGTGGAAGGTCATACCTATCTGAACGACCATTGCATCGAGTTTATGTACAGTGTTGAGAAATCAGCAACTCTGCACAGTTCTGCGCTTGGACGAAGTCGGCTGGCCTGAAAAGTGAAACAGAAGGCTTTCTGTTTGCTGCTCAGGACCAGTCACTTCCCACTGGAAACCGTCAATGTGCGATTTTGCATCAAAATGTAAATATGAAATGTAGATTATGTAATGAATTTAATGAGACTGTCAAACATATTGTCAGTGTGGATGCCCAGCCTTGGCAAAGAAACAGTATCTAAAGCGACATGATGGAGTGGCTCGATTTGACACAGAGGTCATCCCTGGTAGGACCCAGAATATGTAGAGGCGTCATGGAAAATGAAATATACAACATTTTTGGAATAGGCCTGTATACAGCCTCAGACGTATCCAGTCCATCAAACCTGATCTTTTTTTTATAAATCCAATGAAATCATTTGACGCTGATACCAATTCATTATGTAGATAAATCACCGTTAACTGTTTTTTTGGTGAGATTGCAACCATCGTTTGACATCCTGACACAGAGGTTTATGTGGAATCCCTTCGACATTCGTTATGTTAATGCTTTGATATTCTGTTCGATATGAAAGTTGCGCCCCTCGTGTATGCCAGGATCGTTATTTCAAGATCCAGATGAGGCCTGATTGTAATCATTGGTTTGTCGGCAAGGTAATCATGTTCATTTGTACCTTGTATTCACCAAAATTATCACCGTCTTAGTCCTTCGTTCCTTAGTATGCTGAAACACTCTATTATTGACACGTTGTAACACTTAACACGACAAATTACACCAAATTACACTGAATTAATTAAAAACAACATGTATTTAGCAACTTCAATATCACCCAATAAAACACTTTGTTTTCAAACCATTGTTTTCCTGACGACATAAACACTAAACTTTACCTATCGTACAGGGTATGGCTCTAATTAAACTAGATCTGTTACAACTACTTAATGCTGCCACGTTTCATTTGACTGTAGTCTTCAACTGCAATGCTCGTGGACACATTTCTCAGTTTGTGTCTCCAGGTGTGAATCAACGCTGGCTATTCTCTGGCGCTGACGTTTCAACATTTTGAGTGAGTGAGTGAGTGATTATGGTTTTACGCCGCTTTTAGCAATATTCCAGCAATATCACGGCGGGGGACACCAGAAATGGGCTTCACACATTGTACTTATGTCGGGAATCGAACCCGGGTCCTCGGCGTGACGAGCGAACGCTTTAACAACTAGGCTACCCGACTGCCCCCCAACATTTTGAGTGTTGGACGTACATCTTCTAGATACATATATATATAGTAAAGTTAATACAGCTCTTTGTGTCAGTGGGAACGGAATATGCATCGTCGCATGATACTGAGATGAAAGCTACACTCCATTGTAAAATCTCAGCTGCTACTGTTGCTTGGTACCAACGAAAAACGTCGGAACATGCTTTGCAAAACTAGACAAGAGCTACCTCGAATAGAATGAAATGGTCAACAGATTGCCTGGACACTACACGTGTTATTGCATGGTCAGAATCCTCCGAAAATACGCTTGGTCATCTGTTCGCCCCTTCGTAAGGATACCCATTATTGTGATTTCTATAAGCATTGGTTAAGTTAACCGAAAAAACATACAAATACTACTAATTCATTCACTATTTTGCATATGATATAAAGTTGTCCTGTCAGTTATTACTCTTCGTAAAAATATCTAATACCGTTGTGTACTGGGCCAGTTCTTCAATGCCATCATGACTTTACATTAAACATGTACTGTCATTTGTTTTGCATTTGCGCATGTGCACATGTATCCATTGCATGTAAATAGTAATGTCAACTTGAACAATATTCAATTAAATGTCCTATGTTGCAATTGCTTTTGCAATGTTTTGTCAATTGCCCTGGTCATATTGCGACACATTGTCAGGTCATGTTGGCTTTTTCTGTTGCGTTCAAAAATGAAATATTACGTTTTTGTGAAAACTGTGTTAAAGAGATAGTTACTCTAAACCATATCTCTCAGAAGACCGGTTACGTTAGAAATAAGGATTCACAGTTCCCAAGTTTGTATCATAAGGTTTGATTGGTTTAATACTCTGTACTTACATGTATAACCTTTACACGGAGATTTACCACCTTCTTTCCTGCATACTGGCACTTCCTATAATGGATCGGGTTGTCATGCCTAATGACTTAGTTGTCGGCATACCCAAACGACGTGGATCATTGCTCATTATACGTTTAATGAAAAATGTTATATAATTTTCATTACTATTTTGCCTTCAAATGAATCAGACTGATTGTGTTTCGGTGGATAAAAGAGACTGGTTATTCTCTGGCATTGACGTTTTTAATCATGCTTACATGCAACAGTGACACGATCTTTTTATAAAGGGGACCCTGGCCTGAATTCCTGACATTTCGAAACTAAGTCATAATGAAATCATATTTGTATCAAGTGGACAGCCTTTCAGAGAGAATCTGTCACTTATTAACATAAACCACAACATGACCAAAACTTTCAAAACATATTTTCCCCCGAAATCAATAGAAATCCATTTAGTTTGATATGGACGAGAGACAAGGAACAATCCTTATGTCAATCCGTAACTATTAACACAATATAACGTGTACTCTGTGCTATCAATTTCATCCTAAATCAACAAAATGTTAAAACAGTAAATAGATCGATGTCATTTTTTTCTAGAAAGGAGTGCTCGAGAGCTTTGTGTTAGTGAAGGATCTCTCGACTGAGAAGACACATTGGCTTGCAAACCAGAGAGGCTGTCGCTCATTCCTTTAGTTAACTGTATTTGAACGTGTTGCCGTTTCGTTAAAACGGCAGATATGGAACGATAATCTTTTTGTTACTTTTCTGAAGTTTCAAAGGTTAGAAAAACAACGCCACAAAAACCCAACTGTTAGAAGGTCAGGAAAAATTGTGTTTTTCTTGTTATACACAAAAGTGTGACTAAGCGTAAGGTGACAGCAACGTTTAGTTTTTGCATTCATGTATTTTAAGGCTATTAAGTTGTCTCGTACGTATGCCCTCGAAAAACGTATTACACAGCCTTGAATAAAGTTGGGTACTGAAATAAAATATTACCGCAGCTGTATAGGTTATACACAGAGAAACTCACCTGAGTGTCTTTCAATACTAAATATATCTACTCGAGTCGATAAAAGTTTTAAAAACCCGAGGCTTACCCAGGGGTTTTAAGCTGTTATCAGCGAGTGTTGATATACAAGTATGTGATATAAAAAGACCCTCGTGGGAGATTCTATTTATCATCCAACATAATCATTCCAACTGTTTCAGTTTGGAAACAGCAATAAGCAGTGCCTTAAGTGTAAAACGTACTGATAACGAGCTTCAGTCGCAGAGAGTATGGTCATATAAAGCAATGTTATCTTTACCCATGCGATATAACCCCGGAGACTAGTTTTGGATTATAAATACAGTTAAATTAATATGGTTGGTTTGATTGGTTGTTTATGAGTTGTTTTTAGGGTGCTATTTTAAAAAAAATATTTTGAAGCCATATTGCAACAAACACGACATTCTCGATATTCTATGATGTATAAACTGTGGTAAAACTAGTTTGCTCAGTGGATGTGATATTCATTATATTTACTCTTTACATTGGAAGAGTCCAATTCTCTAGTGTTAACAGGAAACATGTCATTAGAATATACAGATTACCTCTCCCTCGTGATCTAATACATCCACATTTACAAAGCTCTTCTCTCTGTCTAGCAAAGCATTCTGTAATTCTTCGTAGCTTGTCTGTTATTGTCAGTGTATTAGACAGATATGAGGACGTGCGGCACCTGAATTACCACGCGTTAACTAAGAGGTTGGGAGAAACTCGACTCGCTGGAGGGACATTGTTTCATTAACACGTTAGACATTGTTAGTCCTTAATAAATCAGATGTTCATTCCGGCAAACAGAGAGGTGGCTGTCAGTGCCTACAATGCTTCTTATAAGAACTTGTCAGATTTATTTTTATAAAATTTGTTTGTTGTATCACACTGCACTTGGATACGTCACTTTTCACTTTGATGTTCTGTGTTAACAGCCTATTTGATCGAAGCCATACAGGTAATAGTTATGAAGGGAAATGCACCGCTTCCTGTAATTGAACTCATTTCTTCATAAAACGTATCAATTCGTAAATGATTTGGGTCTTGGAAGTGAAAAGGTGATTCGACTTTTTTATGTTGTGGGTGTAAAAGGCATTTTTATCGAATTCTTACATTTGACTGTCGTCAAACCACACGCATTATTCCCACACACGTGAAGAAGATCATGACTGTAGTGGTGTCGTCAAACCACACGCATTATTCCCACACACGTGAAGAAGATCATGAGAGTAGTGGTGGCGCTTGTGTGGTGCATGTTGCCAGGGTGCATTATTTGATATTCGTGAAAATGCAAACTTTCAGTCTACCCGTTACTCATTCCAAAAATATCCATTCCCTATCATCGTTGTTTTCAACCGCCTTACGATAAGAAGAACATAAACATTGATCTCTCTTTTAAAGATGATGAGATTATGATATCCATACATGTACCTACTGATGTACGTTCCAACATAACAATTTAAAGGATTTTGATGAGGATGAATATTCCCTCTAAAGTGGTTATAAAGTCGATTGGAACGTGATGGCAAACACACAATAAGCCTATTGTTTAAAATTCTGATTTGGGCCCATGTATGAGCGTTTGAAAAAAAAAAGAATGACATTAAAATCCGGTCCTGGTTGAAAACATTGGTATTTAGAGATTGCTTGTGGCGGACTAAATGGAAGTGACAGATAGTGGATGGCTTCACCACGGGGTACGAAGCGGAAACCCTACTGGAGACGCTTTAATGGGAA